GATAATCGGGGCACCTGGGTGGCTCAGTGGGTTGGAGCCTCTGCCTTCAGCTCGGGTCATGATCTCAGGGTCCTGGGATCGAGCCCTGCATTGAGCTCTCTGCTCGGCAGGGAGCCTGCTTCCCTTCCTCTCTCTCTGTCTGCCTCTCTCCCTGCTTGTGATCTCTGTCTGTCAGATAAACAAATAAAAATATTTTTAAAAAAGAAGAGCTGATAATCATGAAGTTGTACAACACCCATCACTAATTTTAGAGCATTGTCATTATGTCCCAAAGAAATCCCATACTTACTAGCATTCACTACTCATTTTCCTTGCCCTCAACCAGCTTGAGGCAACATAAAATTTACTTTCTACCTCTACAGATTTACCTATACTAAACATTTCATATAAGTGGACTCTTATAATATGTGGTCTTTTTAAACAAAATTCTTTCACTTAAGATAATATTTTCAAGGTTCATCCACATTGCAGCCTGTGTAAGAACATAATGTTTTATTGTTAAGTAATATTCCGTTGAATGGACATACATTTTATTTATCCATTCATGACCTGATAGACATAAGGGTTGTTTTTATGTTTGACTATTATGAATAATGCTGTTATGAACATTTGTGTGCAAGTTTTTGTGAATATATATCCTCATTTCTCTTGAATATATACCTAGTAGTACATGTTTCACTTTTTAAGGAACTGTCAGACTGTTTTTAAAGTGGCTACACCATTTTACATTCTATCAGCAATGTACAGGGTTTCAAATTTTCCACATCCTTGCCAATACTTGTTTTTATCTGTCTTTTTGATCATAGCCATCCTGCTGGGTATGAATGACATTTCATTGTGGTTTGGATTTGCATTTTCCTGATGTCTAATGGTATTTAGCATTCTTTTATGTGCTCAACATCTGTATATTCTATTTGAAGAAAGTCTATTCACATTCTTTACCCATTTTTTAATGAGGTAACTATTTTATAATTGAATTCTCAAGAGTTCTGTATATATTTTAGATATAAGTGCCTTATAAGGTACAGAGTTTATGGACATTTTCTCCTATTCTGTGCATTGTCTTCTCACTTTTTGATGGTGCCTTTTGAATTACGAGGGTTTACAATTTCGATGGTTCAGTTTATCTATTTTTTCTTTTGTTGCATATGGTTTTAGTGTTGTATCTAAGACACAATTTCATTACCCAAGGTCATGAAGTTTCATAGTTTTAGCTCTTACACTTAGATCTGATTAATTTTTTTAAAGATTTTATTTTATTTTTATTTTTATTTTTTTTTAGAGAGAGAGGAGAGGGAGAGGGCAGAGAAAGAGGGAGAAAGAGAATCTTAAGCAGTCTCTACACCCAGCACAGAGCCTGACTCAGGGCTGGATCTCATGACATTGAGACTGTGACCTGAGCCGAAGACAAGAATCAGACACAACCAACTTAGCCACCCAGGTGCCCCCTTTGATTAATTTTGTAATTGATTTTAATATATGTTGTGATATATGGGTATAGCTTTCTTTTCTGTTACATGTGGATATTTTATTGGCCCCAGCACCATTTCTTTGAAAATATTTATCTATATCCATTGAATTATTTTGGCACTCTTGTTGAAATGAGCTGACCATTCTTTTGAAGGTTTATTTTTGGACTTTAAATTCTATTCTATTGACTTATGTCTATCCTTATACCAGTGCCACATTCTCTTGTTATCATAGCTTTTTTTTTTCTTTATCATGAAGGAATGTTAGATTTCTCAGGATCCATTGAGATGTTCATATGGCTTTTGTCCTTTTGTATTATATGATATATTACATTGGTTGATTCTTGGATGTTAAACCAACCTTGCAGTTCTGGGATAAATCCCTCTTGGTCATAGTATATAATCCTTTTTATTTGTTGCTGGTATCAGTTTGCTTATATTTTGTTGAGGATTTTTTTTTGCATTTATATTCATAAAAGATGTTAGTGCATAGTTTTCTTTTCTTATGATATCTTTGTCTGGTTTTGATATCAGTAATCATGACCTTGTAGAGTAAGTTGGGAAGTGTTCCCTTCTCTTAAAGTTTTTGGAAGAGTTTGTAAAGAGTTGGTATTAATTTTTAAGTACAAGCGTTTGGATTTTTTTACAGCTTGCTTTATAGTTTACCCTTTGCTATTGTTCAGTTGCAGGTGGGGTTATAAATGGGAGCAGGAAGATGGTGTTTAAGGCTGATCATCCCTTGTAGAATAATTGGCAGTGAAAGGACAGGACTCCAGATAAAAATGTTGAGTCCTCATTCTTCCTACTTCTAAACCGTGCTGGATTGTCCTACTGGAAGACATTCTTCATGGCAGAAACAAATTACAAAGGCTTTTATATCTTGAATTCTGAACCATAGTTGGAAGATGCCTTTCAGTGCTGTTTTCCTCATTGGAGCCATGGGTACAAGCCCAACTTACTGTCCCGACTTTAAGAAAATTACCTGTAACTTATTGCTACAAATTTATATTTAAAAAATCATATAAACAAAACAAATGAGTGAAAGGAAAGAAATGAAAGTGAGATTGGCAAACCAAGAAACAGACTTTTAATGTAGAAAACAAATTGATGGTTACCAAAGGGGAGGTGGGTGGAGGGATGGGTTAAATAGGTAATAGGAATTAAGGAATGCATTTGTGATGAACATCAGGTGTTGTATAGAAGTGTTGAATTACTATACTGCACACTTGAAACCAATATTACACTGTATGTTAACTAACTGGAATTCAAATAAAAACCTTAAAAAAAGAGAGAGCCTGTTTACCTGAATTACTCTTGAGTAGGAGAGTCTGAGAACAAGGAGAGCGTTTGTTGAATCCCAGACATCATGTAAGGTAATCCAAACAATAAATATTTAGATTGTCTTCCTACATGTTTCAGAGTACTTTTGGTCATTAATCATTCTACCAACTCAGTGGAAAAATTACACTGAAGAAATAATAACTAATATTTATTAAATAATTATAATGTGCCAAATACCATTTTAAATTCTTTCTATATACTATCTTTTATCCTCACAGCAATATTATGAAGTCAATATTAATATTATTCTCCACTTAATAGATGTGGAAACTCAGAAGCAGAGAGGTCATGTGGGTTGCTTCATGTATTGGTAGAGCCAGTATTTGACTTTGATTATGGGACCCTACAGCCCACTGTGAACCAGAAGTTAGAGTGGATTAGGCATATTCCAGAGCAGGGGTTCAGATTCAGGGTTCCTGTATCATAATTTTTGAGTTTATAAGTCATTTGTTTCTCTCTTGATGAAGACTAACATTTAAGATCTTCATAGAGGGTGTGCTAAGATGGTCCCAAGGATTTTAGATGAGACCATCTCCCTCTGCAGGGATGATGTAACAGACAAGTTAACAAAATAAATATTTAATATTTATTGAGTGCTATGTTTCATGGCAAGTGAATCACTTGTATAAATTAATTGAATCTGCAAAGTAACTCTGTGAGTTAAATATTATTATCACTTTTATTTATAGATGAAACCACTGAAGCAAGTATATATACTTTGCCCAAAGTCAATTAGCAATAATTTCCATAACCCAGATTTGAACCTAGATAGTTTTGCTCCTCAGTCTCTGTTCTTAATCATTTTGCTATGCAATTTCTCTAAGTAAGTAAATAGTCACCAGACATAATTGTCACAACAGTGCAGTCACACCAAGAAAGCAGTGATAAGACTGGATCATTCATGTTTATGCATGGGGAGGTTGGAGTCCCTTCTACAGAAGAGAAATGTGCTATGGCTGAGAGGAGGAGAAAGAGTTTCCTACAAATATGAGGCAACATGAAACAAACATGGAAGTAGGAAAAGAAAAATTACTTTTAAGAGGGAGACTGTTAGCTTGTGCCTTCACAGAAGATGGAAATAGGCTGATAGGGAGTGGTGCACACTGGGAAACCTGTGCCAGCTTGGTCCCGAGGGAGTTGTGGTTTGGGAAGGTTTGGAGTCCTACCTCAGGATCGAAAAGGGGCAGTCTGAAAGAGCAACTTTTGGAAATGAGTTTGATAAACTCAATTAGCATGTATAGAGGTTGGATCAACAATAGATTAACAGAAACTTTAATGATAAGTGTTTTTAGTAATCTAAGAAGCATATGGAAATTACCAGGAAAAACTTGACTATTGGGGTAATATTTTTGTTTTAGTGCCAAAATTCTCCCGGTTTTCATTTTCTTGTAGCAGTTAAATCAGAGACTGGGATTTATTCAGCACTGTTCTTCATGGAAGCACAAACATTTCCCATAGTTCTACAATTTTCCTGCAAAACATTCTACCACCAGTGCTGGGCTGCATGTTTGGATCTCTGTGGTTGAGAGGGAAGAGAGTATCCCCAGAGCTTGTACATGACCAGAGAGCTGGATGTATGTGGGCAGTTTTCTTCCAGCGGTGTGGGTCTTCTGGTCTGTAGCTTTGATGAACTTCAGAGCTTTCTTTGTCTTCTCGAACACATGTGTTCACTCACCTCTTGGTCCTGAAGGCATTGTTAATGTTCTTTTCAGTTTGAGGCAATTCGCAACTTTAAGGGATCATCAAAGTATCAAAATAAATTTCACGTAATGTTTTTAATGAGATGATCATTAAGTTGAAGTTTCTAAGTTATTTTTAACAAAAAGATAAATTCACATCAAAAGCAAATAAACCAATGTTGCCCACCCATCCCAGTTCTCATATGCAAACTCTCACTGGAGAGTCAAATGCCAAATACAGACACTTAAAAAATACTTTTGGTCCATTTTTACTTTAAAAAAAAAATTTTATTTATTTACTTGACAGAGAGAGATCACCAGTAGGCAGAGAGACAGGCAGAGAGAGAGGGGGAAGCAGACTCCCCTTTGAGCAGAGAGCCTGATGCAGGGCTCAATCCCAGGACCCTGAGACCATGACCTGAGTTGAAGGCAGAGGCTTAACCCGCTGAGCCACCCAGGTTCCCCAGTCCATTTCTACTTTTAAGGTAACCTGATGCCTTCTTTTCTCAAGTCCTCACACAGGTATTCAGGAATACCAGGATGGTGTGCCAAAAATCCCGACAGCTTGTATCACAGTGGAAGATGCAGAGATGATATCCAGGATGGCTTCTCGTGGGAACAGAATTGTTATTCAGCTGAAGATGGGGGCAAAGAACTACCCAGATGCTGATTCCTTCAACACTGTAGCAGAGATCATTGGCAGCAAGTACCCAGAGCAGGTGAGTGAAGGAGGTACATGGGCTGTCTGGGAACAGAAACTCATCCAAGGCAGGGTCTTTATTTTTTTCCCCCCACCAAAAGTTTTACAATGAATTGAAGAATGAAATAGGATCCATGGTGTGGAAATTCAACGTGTGTGTGTGTGTGTGTGTGTGTTATTTATTCCATTTGGAGCCACGTTGGCACTTGAGATCATACCAATAGCTAATATTTATTGTGCTTATTGTGTGGATTGTGTTATTTGAGTCTTTCAAAACTCAGTGAAGTAGGATTTATTTTTATCATTTCAAAGGTGACATAGAAGGAAACTCAGGTCCACACAGCTAGTAAGTGACTGAGAAGGAACTCAAAACCAGCACCTTATAAATGTTAAATCAAGTTTTAGACCACAATAATTTCCTATTTTTTTTCCTTAGCAAAGTTTGAAAATCAAATAGTACTAGAGGTAGATTCAGACTATGCTAACTGAAGGTTAAATAAGTTTAGCAAGTTACTTATTCTCCGAGTCTTAGAGAACTTGTCTGCAAAGAAGGGATGGTCTATGTAATGTAGCAGGATTATCGCGATGTCTCAATGAGCCCCAGTCCATCACATAGCCTAGCACAGTGTTTGGTAGAGTGCAGACACTCATTTAATGGAAGTTTACTTCACATGACATCGAGTGTACAAAAAACCCAGTTCTGATAAGATGTCTGGTGCAGATTTCCTCTATTAGTAATTATTGAAATGCTGAAAAATAGCACTTGAAGTTCAAGTTATTCTAGAATTACAGACTTGTATTTTGCTTAAAGGGGTAAATGGGATGAAAGAAAAAGTGAATAGTGGTGGAGAAACAAACCTTCTGTACATGTCTTTATTCAGGACCTCTCCTAGTCATAAGGGCTCTGTTGCAGTGAGGATTTGTATTATGTTCAGGTCCTTTTTTTCCTTCCCAAAATACATCCAGGTTGTGGGCATGCATCAGCCTTAGGCTTGTAGCTACAGGAATCATGGAAAAGCAAGATCTCAGAAGGACCCTTGGGAGTCAAATAGCTATAGACAAACTCTAGTTTTCAATGTAGAGAAAAGAAACAAATAAGCCCCTTGCCCTTTAGGAACCTGATAACAGCAAAAGAGCCCAGAGTCTATGTTCCAGTTTCCAAGGAGTCAGACTCCTTAAAGTATATAATCCTTACCAGGTATGTTCCCCAGTTAGTAGTTCCAGGATAAAGTGTTGCCATTTTTAAGGCTGCTAGTCCAGGGCAGGGGGGTTTAGGATTATCTGTGATCAGTTGTCTGGGTGAGCAGCCTGCTCTGGCCCCTAGGCTGGGTGGCAAGATGAGAATGAGTTATTGGGAGCCTTAGTCTGAAACTGCCAGGGGGTGTCAAGGTCTGAGCTAAAGCATTAAAGCAGGGGAGTTCTTGGGGCTATAGCGGCCTGAAGGCTGAAGTCATGCTGGCTCACAGGGCTTCCTAAGAGCCACTGACATCTCCTGGTTGGGAAGGCTTGGGCCTATTCCTCAGCTTGGGCTGATTGAAAAAAAAAATCAGCTTTACAGAAATATAATTACATAAATTTACCAAATTTAAGTGTATAATTCAATGAGCTTTGAAAAATGTACGCAGCAATGTAACCACTACAGCGCTCACAATAGGGAATGTTTTCATTACTCCAAACATTGCCTCGTGTGCCTTTGCTGTCCCCTGGTAGCTACTGATCCACTTTCTAGATCTAGAGTTTTTTCTTCTCTAGAATTTCATAAAAGTGGAGCCATTGAACGTGTAGTCTTTTGAGTCTAGCTTCTTTCACTCACATATAGTGCTTTTGAGATTAATCCATGTTGTTTTACCAATTGTCTATCCCTCTATATTGCTGCTGAGTGATATTTTATCACATGGATATACCACAATTTGTTTATCCATTCAGCAGTTGGACATCTGGTTGGTTTCTAGTTTTTGACTGTTACCAGTAGAACTTCTGTGAATATTTTTGTGCAAGTCTTTCTGTGGACCTACGTCTTCATTTCTTGTTGGGTAAATGCCTAAGAGTAGAGTTGCTGAGTCAGCCTGAATATTTAGCATGCTGATCTCCATCAGGATGCTTCAGTCCCTGTATTCTGGTGGGGATAGCATCTTCTCTAGGTGGGTGGATTCCAGAGAGTTCCCAAGACTCAGGATTAAATTTTTACCTCTACCATAGCATTGCATAGCATTCCAGAAGTGGGTTATAAGTATGGTGTTACCAAGATATACAAGGTAGAAAATTAACAAAAGTTTTCCTACGAAGAAGTCACAGTATTACTTCCACAGAAGAAATGGAGATGAGTGCAGTGAAGTCTATGTGACTATTTTGGGGGAGGAATCTGCCTCAGAGTCTGTGTGAAACCACAGGGGATGTCCAGACTGTGAAGGAAGGCAGCAAGCATGTGTTCTTCTCTCTAGGCATTAGGTGAGTTAAGGAACCTGAATAAGCATAGTCCATCCCTGATCAATGCTTACCCCTTCTATGAAGCTTCCTCGGGTAACCCTGACCTCATCTCAGCACTATATGCTCTTATGTCATCTCCCGCCAGAGCTTGCTAAGGCCCCGAGCAGGCAGTCTGTTTACTTTTTTTGCTTTTCACTAATGCTTATCCCAGGACTTGGCATGTAATAGCTTTCAACACATATTTTTTTTAAGATTTTATTTATTTGAGAGAGAGAGAGAGATCACAAGTAGGCAGAGAGGCAGGCAGAGAGAGAGAGAGGGGGAAGCAGGCTCCCTGCTGAGCAGAGAGCCTGATGTGGGGCTCGATCCTAGGACCCTGAGATTATGACCTGAGCCGAAGGCAGAGGCTTTAACTCACTGAGCCACCCAGGTGCCCCTCAACACATATTTTGTTTTAGTAAAATGAAGAGAGGAAGTAAAGGAGAAAGAGGCTGGAGAATTTTCTTAATCTCAATTCCTTTTAAATCTAGAAGTTCTCCTGCCCATGTAGAATACTGATTGTCCATTGACATATTGAACATGACCCCTAAATGCAGCTATTGTCCAAAGCTGAACATGTCAACTCCTTCGATCCTGAACACTTGCCTTAGTTTCTGTCTCTGCAAAAGGAGCCGTGTTTACCTGCCAGCACGGTGAGTTAGTTTTCATTTTCTCCTCTTTATCACTGACCTGTGGCTGACACCCATCCTATTAAGTGTCCTAATTCAGGCCCTTGCTATTCCCCCCTGATTTTACTTCTGATCTCTCCCCTATTTTTGCCATAAAGCTCAGAGCTGTTTTAAAACGTTGATCTCCACCTGGTGTTTCCTGCTGTCAGACTCCACCTCCTGTTCCCTATGAAATATAGGTTATGATACAGATAAATACTGGGGTGAGTAATCAGAGGGGAGCAGAAGACAGAGGAAAAGAGACATGGAGGGAGGGAGGCAGGTATAGGTAAGAGGAAATTACGTAGCAGAAAACGAATGCTCAGAAGCAAGCAGAAAATGAGAGTGAAGGAGGGAAAGGACACGTCTGCTGGAGATTCAGATGCCTACTAAGAACCATTCTCTCTTTGGCTGGTAAGGGAGTCTAGCTCTCCTCAACTCTGGCAAACATTCTGAAAATCGCTCAGCTTTGTTTTTAATTGTAAGTACAGTAGTCCTGCCTTATCTGAGGTTTCGCCTTCCACGGGTTCAGTTACGTGTGGTCATCTGCAGTCCGGAAGCTGATGCTCCCTCTTCTGACGTAAGGTCAGCTCAGTAGTAAGTGAAGGCCAAATCCCATGCCTACGCCATTCCCCTCAGTGTGGCTCATCACGTAGGCATTTTATCTTCACACTTCCTTGTAAGAAGAGTGAGGCCAGTACAGTAAGGTATTTTGAGAGAGACACCACATTCACATGACATTTATTACAGCATGCTGGTATAATTGTCCTGTTCTATTATGTTATTGTTGTTAAGCTCTGTGCCGAATTTAGAAGTTAAACTTTATCATAGGTGTGTGTACAGGAAAAAATATAGTATATATAAGGTGCAATGTTATCCATAGTTTCAGGCATCTACCGGATGAGTCAGAGGACTCTTGGAATGTGTCCCCTGTGGATAAGGAGGGGACTACTGTAATGGCCACAGTGACATAAACATTGAATTGTTTCAGGTGGCTAACTTATCTCTGACACATCCTCTCTACCTTGCTCTCCCTATCGCACTGAAGAAGAGTATTCAATAATGCTGAGCAAGTTACTTGCAATGGAAATTAGCTCTAAAAAGAAAGAGGGTTTATTGCACTTTCTTATCATTCTGCTTGCAGATTGAACATCCTGGGTGACTAGAGGGTAGGCTCACATTCACACAGTGGCTGACAGACGTCCTTCAGGACTAGCACCCAGCACAACCCCTTCTATCTCATTATTCACACACAGGAAAGAAAAGCAGTTACCACATAGAGAATCCCTCTGATTTGGCCCAAGAACCATGGACAAGGTGTGGTGATTTTCAGCTCTAGAAAAGTGTATACGTGATTGATGAGGCATTGATACCTTTTGAAACCCTGTTGCATAATTCAGCCATAAGCTTTAAGTTCTGAATTAGCAATAGGCTTTTAAAAATGCCAATAATACAAGTACTTTATTGAGTTTCAATATGTGAAAATGGCCGAAGAGGGGTATTATGTTCATTAATTCTACTCTCCTCCCAAAGAACCCACAGTGACATGTTTTGGGTCTTCCAAGCCCAGAATCATGCCAGTGTCAGGGGGACCCTGTCCTGACAGTAGCCTGAATAACCCTTTCCTGTGATGCTGCCAGGGTCCCTCACTCCAACAAACAGGCAAATACACAAGGAGGGTTGTGCTCAAACTGACCTGACAAAAGGGCCGATGACCTGAAACTAGGGAGTTAGTGCACCTGTAGGACAGACTCTCTCCTGAGAACAGACTCTCCAGTGTTGACTCTTGGGGCTGGCCCATTTTTTCTGCTCGTCAGTGATTTACTAGGCCTTACTATATTCCAGAAGTCTTCTGAGGGAATTGTATGAAAAAGAAAAGTGTTAC